GCGAGCGCGCTACCACTTGAGCCACATCCCCAGCCCAACTTCTTTAATTTTATACATTAAGAAAAAGATTAATTTTAATATTTTAGCTTGAAAATGCATTTATTCAAGTAACATTCTAAGAAAATAAACTAATTCTTTTCTTATTTTTTATTTTTAACTTTTAAACTCATGTTTGGCCTCTTCAATCAAAGTGATTGAGGGGAAAAATTAAATTTAAAAATGTGTTATTCAGAATTCACTAAGCCAAATCAGTGTACAATAAATATAAATAATGAACTTTCCAAATAACGTTGCTTGCCCATTTGTCAAATCTAGACTTCTGAAAGCTCAAGATGGCACAAAGTTTTGGAGAGATGCTTTCTCTAGTCTTCTGCCCATTTATTTAGTCCACAATTAACATGGGGGTTTCCTGTTCTTGGTGATGGAATACACGGTGAACCTGCAGACCAGGCACCTGCCCCATACCAGCTCACAGACTAGGTGACATGGACAGTGAGTAAATATGCAAGATGGTACCAGATAATGATTTTCCCAATGAACAGAATAAAGCAACATGACAGAGAGTAACTGGGTCTGAAGGAGCAGCAAGCACTTGAGAGTGGAACTCTACAGCTAGTTCAACACCATCCTGGGCTTTGGCAGAGACTCTCTGGGCAGCCCCAGCCCTGGTTAAGAGAACTTAACTGCCTTCTAGAGCTTAAAAACTCTGGTTTTAAGCTTTCAATCGTTGTTCTCATGATATGAGAAAAATGAGATCGTTTTCAATCAACGTTTTAACCCAAAGAAATGATAAATATTTGATGAGGTCGATAGGCTTACCCTGATTTGATCATTCCACAATGCAGACATGGAYCTCATAAATATGTTCAACTTTTATGGGTCAATTATAAATTTTTTAAATAATTTTTTAAAAGTTTGAAAACCACTCAAACAATCCCTGTCAAAATACCCAAAAAAATTCTCTAACAGCAATAGATGGCTTTCATGTTGTTATTATTATTATTATTGATTATTATTGGCCAGTGAATCTCTGGACACTTCAGTGAGTTCACACATCTTTTTATCTGAGTATTTAAACAACCCAATAAAAGTCACCGCAAGCACAGTGATAAGTGAGTTTTCAGATCCTAAAACCTGAATGAGCATGCACTGCTCCTTAGCCTCCAGGGCTAATATTCATGAGCACAAAAGGTGGCAATTATCAGCTCTGAGGTTTGTGGGCAGTGTAGCATGCACTGGTGTTGGGTACAAATACACCCTTTATAGCAGAAGCAGAGTAGAGAGGATTCAACTCGAATCCACTGGACCACCCAGCCCTCAGGGCACCAGGGCCAGCCATATGTACAAGCTCAGCAGGAAGGCAGGTAAGGCCTCTAAATTAAGGGAAGAGRGACAAAAAGAGCCACCTCTGGCCATTAATGTACTGTACAGGCCTTCCTGGGGGTTGGGATGGGACAGAAATGCCGAATGTACACTCTGTTTCTATCTTCCCCCAACAAGCCATATCCACCAGTAGAGCATTTTCCAGCCATGGAGACAATGAATCTCATAATTCCTTTGACATCTCTTTCTCTTCCTCTCCATCCTACACCCCGTAGAGCAACCAGGGCAGAGAAGATGCCCTCCCTAAAAATCCTCAGGTCACCCTGAATCTCTATCCTAGCTGCTAATGGTGCAACGGTTGCAAAATTAATACCGTATCTCATTCAATTAATGCATGGCTCATTCCTCCTGAGCTTAACTCAATTAGAAGAAATGTCAGGCACCTGGCCCCAGAATATGAATGAGCCTGTCTCCCAGTCCAACCTCTGCTTCCTTTAATGCTAAAGCAGTCAGCAAATTAATATGCATCAGCTCCTATATTTTTGTGCAGCGGGAAGGGGTGATGAGAGGCCAAAGGACAAGAGCTGCAAAGAGGAGGCGTGTGCAAGGTGCAGTTGGATGCACCATGCTGACTCTGACAAAATCCAGGGCTGCCATTGGTTAGCTGGTCAGACAATTGAGCCAACTTTGGCCAGGGTTGAATTTTTCTCACTTTTTCATGGAGCTGAGCTGGTCAGTCCTGGTTATTTTGGTCACTGGACAAGTTCAAGAGCATGTGAGCATTCTCCTTCCAAGCAAATGAATACTGCCCTTTCTGTTTACTCCCCCAGCACTCTCCACGGAGTGAGTACAACTTTGTGTTAAAGTTGTACTAGTCAGTTTATTCTGTGGCCCATTGGCCATCTTTGTTGCATTAAATTTTTTCAATAAATGAAATAGAGATGGATCCTAAGCAAAAATGTAGAGTTTTAAACCTCCTATCTCCTTATAAGATGAACTGTAAAACTTAATTTCCAAAAAGTTTCAAATCAAAGACTAGGTTTATTCTAGATAAGCTTCCTCCAAGTAAAAGGATGTTAACACCTATTGGATGTTTGTTGTCAAAAATATTGACCTGACTTATTACGGGTTAATGGTAGAGGATGAACAATCTGGACCTGTTATTATTTCTTCTTTCTGAGCCTGTTATTTCTACAGGGAAGAAAATAAAGTACATACAGTAATAACACCATTTATTCACCAAATATTTGTCAAGGTTAAGATAAAATACCAAGCATCATGCTGATCCCCAGGGACATAGAAGTRAAGAAAATAAATGCATTCCCTGTACTCAAGGACCTTGCTGTCTGATGGTATATGAAACATTCAAATAAGCAATTGTGGTGGGAGTGGGGGGTTAAAGTACACTGAGGGAAATTGCAATCCAAGAACAAGGGGTACACCCTCATTGAGAAGGAAAGAGAGRCCGTCGGTCTCAGTCTCTAAAAGTAGTAAGCCCTTAAGAAAGAAAGCAATTTTATGTCAACTTCTCATGCTCTGGAAGAAATTGGATGGCCCTTATTTAAATTGATTTGCACACTATACTAAAGGGTGATGTTAGAAAAAGTGTGTCCTTGAGTAATAATATCAGGAACCAGATTTTGGTTATGCTTAGCCTAGCCTCTTCATTCCATAATCCTTGTATTAGTCCATTTTCTGTTGCTGTCATAAAATACCTGAGACTGGATAGTGCACAAAGAAAAGAAGTTTATTTAGCTCACAATCTTGAAGGGTTAAAGGACAAAATCAGACAGCCCCTTTAATTCAGCCTCTGGTGATAATGGCATCATGCAGGAGTGTATGCAAGGGTGACCAATAGAAAACCAAGAGTAACAACTTACTCTTATGGGAATCTATTGGTATGCTATAAGAATTGTGTTAATCCCTTCAAAGAGCAGCACCCTCCATGATCTGATCATCTTCCCCTAGGCCCCACCTCTTAAAGGTCCCCCCCACCTCTCACATTGCCACACTGGGCAGCGAGCTTTCAGCAAACCTGTGGGGGACAAATCACAGCTACCCCCATGAGTAGAAAGACTTAAGTCAGCTTCACAGCCCTCAAGGCTCTTGCCACAGAATAGTGGATCAAGGTGACATGTCCCCAGGTTACAAAGCCCTGTAGAGAGCAATATGGCTCCAATCAGCAACATTTTGAGGGTAGTGATGGACAATCAGAAGGCCCATTCCCTTAATGCTGGTGAGTTAACCCTGGGAGAGATCTCTTGTAGATGGGCAGGGAATCATGTGAGCCATGGATGCAGCTGAAGTAAAAGTGGCCCTCACCCCTTCTGCCTGTGTCCCTGTCACAGCTCATGTTTGCCCCACACAATACTGGACTGCAGACCCTGCTCCTTTTCAACTTCCCAGCAAGAAGTCACTCCTAAATCCTAACGCACTATAGAGATTCCTTAAAAAAAAAAAAAAACTAGGAATGGAATCACCATTTGACCCAGTTATCCCACTCCTCAGTATATAGCCAAAGGATTTAAAACCAGCATCCTATAGTGATACAGCCACTTCAATGTTTATAGAAGATCAATTCACAATAGCTAAGCTATGGAACCAACCTAGGTGCCCATCAATAGATGAGAGGATAAAGAAACTGTGGTGTATGGAATATTACTCAGTAACAATGGAATGCTACTCAGCCAGTAAATGGATGGAACTGGAGACTACCATGCTAAGTGAAATAAGCCAATCCAAAAAAAAAAATAAAAAACCAAAGGCCAGATGTTCCTCTGATATGTGGATGCTAACACASAAAAAGTGGGGGTGTAGAGAAGAATGAAGTTCAATGGATTAGACAAAGGGGAATAAAGGGAAGGGATAGGAATAGGAAAGACAGTGGAATGAATCTGACATGACTTTTCCATGTTCATATGTGAATGTACCCCAGTGAATCTCAACACAGTGAAAATCCACAAGACTGGGATCCTAATTAGAATAAGATATACTCCATGTTGGTATAAATATGTCAAAATAGACTCTACTGTCATGTGTAACTAACGAGAACAAATCAATTATAAAAAAAAGAAGAAGTCACTCTTATAAGGTTAACAGTTACTTTACCAAATGCCATGGAGAAGAAAAGGTTAGACCATATATCCCATTAACAGCCCAGCTTAAAATCACCCACTCAACATTTCTGTCCTTCCCAGTGTCCCTTCTCAGTGACAGGAAAACTGRGAATTTCTCTTTCCTAATCCCATCCTGGTATTGTCTCTGACCCTCCCTCTGCCCCTTGCCCTCTGTCATGCACAGTAGTTTTATATCTTTTCTGAATCTTGGCCCCAGTCAACACCGAGTCCCTGAATGCTGAGCTCCACTTGGAAACAGTTCATTAAGGAATCTCTTCAATGAATATGGTCTCTCCCTATTAGGGATTCCAGTAAATTTTGTTAGGGGAATACAATTTTCTTCAAGTAATAAATAATAAAAGGTATGAGCAAGATCTAAAATAGAAATATGGGACCAGCTGTGCCTCCTTGTTGATCCTTGGACTCCATAGCGTTCCCCAACTTACCAAGGGTCATCAACTTTTCCACCCATACTCAGAACCCCAGCTTTTCTCCATCCCATATCCCCTGAGAACTAGCCTACCAAAGCCCAAAGTTCTCTCTGCCCACACCTGTCCACAGGTATACGGATGTTGGACCAGCCATTTATGACGGACATCATCGAGGCCTCCTCCATCAGCCACATGCCACAGCTGATTGACATCTACAGCGCCAGCTGGGGCCCCACAGACAATGGGAAGACGGTGGATGGGCCCCGAGAACTCACGCTTCAGGCCATGGCGGATGGTGTGAACAAGGTAACGAGGAGGCCCCAGGCCACTCAAAAGGGRGAGTGTGATGGGTGAGGGAGCGGTGGCTAGACAGTGGATGAGGAGGCAAGGCAGGGGGCAGAGATGGGCTGTCACCCTGTGTGTTGGGGCAGGCCCTGTGAGAAATGGACACCAAAATAGGTTTGATGATACAGGAGATTTTCTGGAGGGGACACTGTGAAGGACACAGCAAGGGAGGAGTGTGGGAAGCCGGAAGGCCTCACACTGTGGTGTGACCTGATCCCTGTGAAAGAGAAAGAGAACAGGAGAGGAAATGTCTCAGACTGCAGCACTGCACTAAGGAGGTTTCTACTGGGCCAACAGGTGGTCCTCATACCAAAGTCACCCATCTCAATCAAGAAGGGGCCTGCAATAGCACCCCACCACACTCAGTGGTTGGTGGACACAACCCACCAGAAGTAATGTCTCAGCTCATACTAGGTGGTGGATCCAGGGGCAGCAGACTCCATGATGCACCCATAGCAGCAAGTCCAAGCAGTGAATTTTATAGCCATGGATACCTGATATTAGCCCAGGAGTGGACAGTGCAAAGAAGGGACAAAGGCAGAGCCCTAGAAGGAGGCCAGCCATGACATGTGGGGCAACAACTGCATATTAAGGGACAGGAGACTCCTTCTCTGAGACCTCAGGACAGGAGTCACCCCAGGCAGGACACTAGTCCAGGATCCAGGACAGAACACGAGCCCAGTACTCCTGGGGTCAAGTGCCTACTCCATCACTCAGTGTTGGAGCATCTATCAACAACTGACCTAACCTGGCTGAGCCTGTTTTCTTACCTATAAAATGGTCATAATTTGGAGTCCTTCATGGGATCTGGATTGGGATCCCTGTGAGGTGTAAATGAGATAAATATGCAAGTACATGGTGCTGGGAAATGGCCAGAAAATGCTAAGTGTTTGTCCCAATCACTTAGCCAACCACTCCAAAGTTTCATGGCATAAACACCACAATTATAGGCTTGTGGATTCAATGGGTCAGGAATTGGGGATTTCCTGTCTCTGCTCTATAATCCCTGGGGTCTAAGGTGCCACAAGGCTTTGACCTGAGCATTGGTTACTAAACTCCGTGTCCTTGCAAGATGTTTTGATGCACAAAGCTTAGAGCGCAGCCTCTGGTCCACTTGGGAGTGTGAGAAATGCAGTGTCAGCCCCTCCCCACCCCACCCCCTATGCACCCAACTCTGCATCTGAACATTGGTATTAAAGTCTGGGAGCTATTGCTCTAAGCGACCTTTGGGATCCATATCCTGTAACCCTAAGAGACTGAGATCCAAAGATAGGGCTTTTGTAAGCCCACAAGGGRGCAGTAGAGGCAACACATTCTTCTGGCAGTAATGTCACGGTATTTCCTCATCAAGATGATGTGTTARTGGATGGTTTGGGGTCTAAACCATATGCTCTGGTTATCTCTGTGCAAACAGGAACAGGGGACCAGGTAAGTCCACTAAAGGGGTTTCTTGTAAAGATGCTCAAGGAGGGATGAGGGCAGCGGGATGATACGGGCAGGTCCTCAAACTACCTGGGATCAGATGGACCTTCTGGATCTAAAGTGGCTCAGGATGCCAGGCACAGGGCTGTGTGGAGATCCACAACTCTGCTGTCACAGAGCTAGGCCACTCTCACCCCACCTGTTTTCCTGTGGCTATGTGCCTCCCATTCTCCAATCCATTCTTCTCTTCCTTGAGGCTTCTGTTCAGGTGATAGTTCCACCTAGACATGGCTCATTACAACCCATGAGCCTCAACTCTAGTCCTTGCCCCCAATGCTTTCAGGGAAATTTTGGCCCTAAATTAGGGGACACATCCACCTCCCCCCAGACTAGGCTCAAAACTAAGAAATATGATTCTGTTGGAAAGCCGCAGAACTTGAAGTCACTGGACAGTCAGAAGATTTCCAAAACCCCCTTTTTCTTTTCTACTCTGGATATTATCTGTGATGGTGGTCATCTGTACTCAGGTGGTCTTTGCAGCCCTCTGATGGAGAAACTTCTGCTGTGCTATTGAATTATTCCAAAGGTCTGAACAGAGATGTAAGACCATATGTTCCCCTTCAGTTATGGGGTTGAATTGTGTACCCCCACATTTACACACTGAAGTCTTAACCCCCAGCACCTTGGAATATGACCTTCTTTGGAAACAGATGTAATTAGTAAGATGAGGTCATACTGGAGTATGATCCAATATGATTGGTACCCTTAACCAACATATTGGTATCTTAATCCAGTTTATTATCATTATAATGATATTATTGGAAATAAGAATATTATTAGTATCCTTATTTTTTAAAGAAAAAGATGGAATTTGGGCACAAATGTATACTTAGGGAGAATGCCATGTACAGATAAAGGCAGAGCCTGGGTGGTGCATCTACAAACCAAGAAATGCCAAAGAYTGCCCCAAAGCACCAGAGGCCAAGGAAGGAGCAGGGAATAGATTATTTTTTTTGCAGCCCTCAGAGGGAACCAACCATGCTGACACTTTAATGTTGGACTTTTAACTTCCAGAACCAATAGGCAATTAATTCCTGCTGCCTCTGTGACCCAAGTTGTTGTACTTTACTACAGCAGCCCTAGAAGGCTAAAGAAAACTAATACACACTTCTTTCAAATGGACAGTCAAGAAAGAAATGTGGCCAAATTCTAGCAATGTGGAAATGATCTGGTCACCCTTCAAGGTCACCTTGATATCACCTGGATTCCTCTTCTCTAACCAAGATGGTTGACAGTTGATCCAATGACCGCTTTTTTCCTTCTTCTTTGGGACCTCATGAGGGCGCCTTCCTCCATTCTCTAACATAGTTACCTCAAAGGAATAAGTATGCCAAAAAAAATTCACGAGGTAATCCTAGGAGAGAGACATGTTCCTGAGTTATAACTAATAATGCAGATGGTACCCAGTTCCTGAGTTCCAGCAATGCACCATCCTGGAATTGGCTCCTGCTGACCTCACACTGGTAGCTTGGGATTACACCTGGAAATCTGCAAGCCCCATAGCTAAAGATCCTTTATGTCCCTATAAGAGACCTGGTTGCTAACCACACCCGCAGCTTCCCTTGAATTATAGCATTGGCTTGGTTATGTATTCTTCCCACAAGCAAAGGCCATCCTTGCTTTCATGAGAATAGAAATTCCCTTTGGAAAGGGGAAAACTTGAAGGAAAAACACCTAAGACCCTATAAGACTTGTGTTTCCCAAAAATCGCAAGTTTTCCAACCAGAGTCACTAGTTACCCCAAGACTGTGGAGAACAACTTTTCTAAATAAGTCAAGACCTCACTTCTTAGGAGATTCAATACCCAGGCTTTCAATACAAGGGTCCCAGAAACTCGGTTAGGAATGGGAATGAGTCCTTGAAAATCCAACAAACATGAATTTTCACTGAAAGGCATTTTGTCACCCCAAACCTTCAGAGAGTTAGGCAAACAGGTGACATGTGCCCTCTGTTCACATTGATAATGCAGATGGTACCCCGTGCAGAGCATCCCTGGGTGACTGCTGTCATTTTCCACCAGCTTCCAAACTTCCCCATCCCATCTCAGTGCTAAGCACTTCTCTCTCCTCCATCTGTAGCCTCCCTAGCTGCAACTAAAAAGGCTTTTTCAAGTGGGATTGTTCTGCAAAACATGTCAAATGCACCAAAACTTAAGAGAAAAAAATTGTTACGGCTTATCTTCAGATGACAGCACGTAAATATTTTAGAAAAGAAAGTGAATATGATGAAAAATACATGATTTCTCATTTGACTTTTCCCCAGACTATGGGAATGAATCTTTCCTTGCTTCAAGGTGACATTTTTGGGACAGTATTGTGGAATTTTGTGAGTGACAGTATCAGACACTAGCAAAGATTTCCTCCTGGTTATTTTAGTTGCTTCATCTATTCTAAAAGAAAGATCCACCTCTCAAAAGTGATACCCACCCAAACGTGAAGTCTGATAATTACCTATCACACAGTTGTCATTCTTAGATTTGTCTTTTAATCTTGGCATCCTGCACATATCTTCTGTTTGATCGACAGAATAACAATAAAAAAGAAAAGGAGCCAGGCATGGTGGCCCACACCTGTAATCCCAGCAGATCAGGAGACTGAGGCAGGAGGATTGTTGAGTTCAAAGCCAGCCTCAGCAAAAGCGAGGCACTAAGCAACTCAGTGAGACCCTGTCTCTAAGTAAAATACAATTAATAGGGCTGAGGATGTGGCTCAGTGGCCAAGTGCCCCTGAGTTCAATCCCCGGTACCAACCCCCCAAATTAAAGGGAAAGATGGAAACAAAAGAGGAGGATGAGACCTTTACCAGACACACATTTTGCCACAAGCCCCATCATGCCCAATTGTCTGACACCCACTTCACACATAAACATCATCTACCTGGCTCTTTGGAGATCTGAATTTCCATCTTCTAAGTTTGCTCAATAAATACTTGAAGGAGGCAGCAAGGAGCAGGCAAGAAGTAAGGAAAGAAGGAAACCATTTCCCCTTTGTTTCATTCTTTGTCTCTCTGTGTAGTCTCCATGTTGGTTTTTAGAGTGAAGGCATTTTTCACATTATAGACGGGAAGTGGGTAACAGAGACCTCTGAATTATGAGAYAGTGCAATAACTCACTTCTGTCTTCGTTTGGGATCTCCCAGCAGCARACCCTGAGACAAGATTTGAGTTCAAGCCAATTATTTGGAAGGTAAAGGGAATATCAGAAGTAAGTGGGGAGCTATGATAAGAAACAGAAGGKATCAATTCAAACTGTATAATCCCACCAGCCACAACCATGGGCCATTGGGAAATCATGTAGAGCACACAATGGAGTTATCCCACCCTATGGCAAAGGTGCTGGGATAAAAACTGGATAMGATTTGTTGGCAAGGAGTGGAAATGCCTCCGGATTTGCAACCAGAGGCCAGGTATATGGAGCAGGCTTTAGCCTCTTGGGAGAAAGCCCTAAGACTAAGAGATGCATATGCTGACATTAGGAAATTC